CGCCCCACACACACACACACACACACCACCCCACCCACACACACACACACACACACACACACACCCTCACTGTTAACAACTCATTCAACCCATTGAGCTTCATGCAGAGAAAACTCACTCTGAGAGGGCCTTGCTTTTTCCAAAACTCGACAGAGTTCTGATTCAACTTTTGCAGGCTCCATACTGTTGCCGTAGAAATATGATATTTTACTCCATAGCTCAGGCTGCTGTTTTGCTGGATAATCATATGAAACAATGATGTTCCTGCCCTGGTCCCAGCAACTCTTCAGGGTGGGGAAGGGATGCTGTAATGCATTTAAATAGTTTTATTTTTGAAGTGCTATAAGCTCAAGTTATTTTCATCTTATTAGCTTGACATGTTAATCATGATGAAAATAATCAGTACTTTATGGATGATTCTGGTGCCAAACAAGGTCTTGATGAAGCTGGTAAGATGGCTGTGGAGCTGCTCTTCAATCTTTATATCAAATCCTTTGAAATGGGACAAAGCCAGGATGAGGATCTCTTTGGGGTGCCTCTTTGCCCACTCATTAATGCTCCTGAGGACACTCTGATCACAAGGGCAGAATTGTTAATCATTTTATTGGTCAGTAAAATGTTATCCTGTGGTCTCTTGTTTCCTGGGGCTCAAGACACAAAGGTTGATCTATTCCTTGAGGTACAGTAGCCTATAATGTTTTCACTGTTCTCGTGGTTATATATGACATTTTCATCTTTACCTCCACATCAGACTCTGTGTACAGCCCATGATAAAAGTAAAGCCTAGTGGGGTTGGTGTCGTTCGGCTTGCGAGCGATCCTCAGGTCAAAGTAGCGAACTCCTGCATCCAATTGTTTTGTGATGGTCTCTTCCTGCAACGCAAACCACTACAGTCAAACAAACACACCCATCTCCATTTCTTATATGCACAAATACATTCAGCAATAACCAGGGCCGGATTAAGGATGACAGAGGCCCCTGGGCTTGAGTAATTGCTTGGGCCCTACCTAAAGAAGGACATATATAGTTGCTCACTACAGAAATGCCACATCAAGAGAATTACAGAAAGAGCCACTTTAGCACAAAGATTTATGCCACTCCAGCAGCACACAAATGCAAATATGAATAAATAATTTCTGCTTCCTGATCTCATCTTGAGCATACAAACTTCATCCTCATAAATTACATTAAAGAGACCACCATAGGCCAATAAATAACAAAAATAATCTACTTAGTTAAATCCCCTTTACCATTTAACTCACTGATCAGGTTCTAATATTCCCATGTGGTTACCATTGTTAGGTTTGCCAAAAATTTCACCTGTACCTCAGAAAGCCAGCCCGCATTCAGCCAAAAATGTCCAGACTGCCACAGCACTTTTTAAAACTTCAGTACACCCAGGGCCCTGTCTTTGCCAGGGTCCTGGGCTAACAGTAACAGAACTAACGGTAGTTCACTACTAACTCAACTTACCTGAGTAGCTGCCCATTTCTGAACAATTTTACGTGCACAATAAATCTTGCTGAATCTTTTAAGATGATCAGGCTCTACTATAGAGGAGCTGATGTCCAAATCATAACTCATTGAGTCATGGCTTCCTAGGAATGACCAAAGACACATATAACAATGTTACAGTAAACAGCCTTCATATTATCACTGTCCAGTGAAAATGATTTCTGTCAAAATGTGGTGATATTGAAATTTTGCCATGCTAGTAGCTCTAGAGATGGTAATGCTGGTCTGTTAATTGTTAAGTTTATTGGTTGGTCCATCATCAATTGGTCTGTTAATTAAGTTTATTGGTTGGTCCATCATCAATCACTTTGATTCAGAATGAGAAATCTCAACAACAGAAAGATATCTATGGCAGTTCTTTGGTTCTTTGACTTTTCCAATGATGCCACCATAAGGTTGGCATTTTTTGCATTTAGTTAAATGCCTTCACAACTATTAGATGGACTGCCATGAAATTTGGTCTAGAAATCCAGGTGTACATTAGGATGAATCCTAATGGCCTTGGGAGTCAAGTATCTATTTGTCTAGCACCACCTTTGGGTCAAAATTGTAATTAATCCAATTCTTTGGCCTATGATCAGGTGAGGTTTTCTGTGATAATTAACATGAGCAACACTGATTTAAAAGTCTAATGTTTATGTTTAAAACCCTTAATGGCCTGGCCCCTTCTTACCTGACAGAACGTCTTACACCCAGCAAGCAAAACCGAGCACTATTGAGTCTACTGATCACCTTCCTGAGATCTAGCTGTAAGCGATCGGGTGATCACACCTTTTCTGTGCCCACCCCCAAATTGTGAAGCACTCAACCAACTGACCTTCGTTCTATCACAGATCTCGTACTTTTAAAGTCTAAACTGGGAACTTACTTTTTTACATGGGCTTTCACTTCCCAGTAGTGCTCTTACACTTTCTTTTTGACTTAACCTGCTTTTAATTCAGAATGTGTCTATATACTTGTTTTTTTATTTCATTTTATCTACTCCATTTGTTTTATATTTATTTTATTCTACTGTTTTATCTGACTGATGTAAAGCACTTTGGCCAACTTCCAGTTTTAATGGACTGTATTTTATATAGCACTTTTTTCTCACAGTGTGTTGCACTGGCACTGGCTTTACAGAGGATCATACACCATTCACACACCGATGACAACAGGCTGCCACGCAACGGCGCTAGTCAAGCCACCGGGAGCAATTCGGGGTTCAGTGTCTTGCTCAGGGACACTTAGGCATGCGGGGGAGACCAGGAGTCTGCCCTACCTCATGAGCCACAGCCACCCCAAGCACTATCTAAATAAAGGCTGACTGACTGAACATAACCAGCTTAACAACATGTTTTGGCTGCATGTGGATATGGTACATTAGCATGCTTACATCTGCATTTCTGACCTTCACAGAGCTTCTAGTCGTGTTCAGATAAATGGGAGGATTATATTTCTTTATGAACTGAGAAAATTCTTCTTTCCTACAAACTAAACAAAGCATTCAAACCTCCTTTGGTAAATATGGAAAAATTCATTGTTAAAAATCTGAGAACAAGGTTATCTGTGGCTTATCAAATGATGTCATGGAGGTACACGCTTTTCACATGACAGTAAAAAAATAAGCTAATTTTAATAAAAACTTATTAAAGTACTGTGTATTAGTTCAGAAGCACTGTAATCAGTTCTTTATTTCACCTTCATACCTGGTATGGTCAGATTGAAGAGAGGAATGTTGTGAAGTTCAGGTGGTAGTTGTGACATCCAATTGCAGTAGTTTATGACTTCTATCCCTTTGCCTTTTTCTGCAGACATTTCAAATTCTACACAAAACAACTCAAACTCAATTTGCAATCTCTTAGAAATACAACGGTTGTAGTTAATAATAAGTCATTTGTCATAAAAAAACACAGACATAAGGGTCAAAGGTTTAGAGGAATGCCACTCACTCTGCCACAGTAATCCCCAGCCTTCCTTGACTTTTTTATTACCACAAATTTGACAGCACAGAAGTATACAGAGGAACTGCTGTCTCTGTCAAACCTCTGCTGCTCATACACTGTGGTAAGAAAAAGTCTACTGTAGCCACACAGGTGATGAAATCTACAAATAGGCATTTTTGATCAAAATTATGTGGAGCCTTTGTCTGGGCCAGTCAGGTTGAAAAAGTGGCACAACAGACAGCCAACAGCCAACAGCCAACTAGCACATGCGCTCTGTGCATGCTTGAAAGAAATAACTCCCCATACCAGGTGGCAGTATTTGTATTTGCCATTCAGAAAGGATAAAAGAGCTAGAAAGCCAAAATGCAAGGGTACACAAATCAGCTCACGTTCAACACAGCTGCTATTTATAGCTGCTTCTAATTGAGAATATGTCTGATAAGAAGTTACAAATGACACTGCCCTTCTCTGCTCTGGGTCTTTTGGTTATGGAAGAAGAAAGAAGGTCGTGGAGGTAAAAAACAAGAAGTAACTGCACTAAAGGTGTGAAATCATGGATACTACAGCGACTGGATGAAGGGGGTTTCCTGAACTGCTCTCTTCTTGTCCAGTGATTTGCTAAGCTGAACAGCCAATCAGAGTGGTCTATCTTTCCGACAAGACCCAAAGGCCCAACGCCAATTCAACATGCCGAATTGTCAGAAAAGCCACGAACAGGGTTGAAATAGTGCCAACGATGCGGGATATACTGGGAGGACAAGCCCCAGCAGGCATTCACTTATGACCCCACTGTGGCCTAGGACCAACTGTTGGCTTGGTGTGTCACGGCCCTAACACCTGGCTCACTCTAAAGACCCCCTTGTGGGAGGAAGACTGCTGCAATGTATTTATGAAAGGACAGGTACCCTGGACAAGAGTGAACGAAGCTGGTTACAAACATCAGCTGGCTGTGAACACTAGAGTAAAACTGGTAACAGGGTCGTTTAGGTGTCAAACTCATCAACCAGGAGCCCATACACCCTTTCATGCATACGTAGCCGGTAACTAAAGCTACATTTCCACCAGAGAGACTTACCCCGGAGAGCAGGAACCTTTTTTTGGAATGTAGTTCCTCTACCTGCATTTCTAGGATCCAGGGTGTAAAGTTAGTGGTGTAGTTTTTCCCCCTGAAAAAAGTACTTGTTTGGGGGTAGTACTTTCTGACGGCCCAAAAAATATCAGTGCTGAATGTCACTGATTGGTTAAATACAGGGCTCTACAGTGTGAGTATTTTACTCATTAATGCAAGTAAAAGTCAAAGAGTGTGATGGTGTGAATAATATTTTGGGCACACTCCCAGTTCTTTGGGTTTTCAGTTTGTAAGGAGCATTTTATAAGTAGGCCTATGCAAAGAGACCAGTGACTGAGATTAGAGGATTTGGAAAAGTTGTTTTGGTGTTGGTGGAGAGGCTTTTCCTGGTGTTCGATGTGAGGGCAGAGCTCAGCTCCTCCACAGACAAAGCGCAGCAGCCAGAGGACAAGGAAAAAAGTATGACTTCAGCTGAAGTGAAACTACTCAGTTAACAATCCTTATGCTCGTTACTGTACAAAAAAAACCTTGGCAAGTAAGAAAAAATACACCTGTTAAACAAGCATAAACTTGGAGTGAGGCAATCATTTTAATTTTTCCTGCAGTCTGTCCACTGTAAGAATCATAATTTATAAATTTTAGATTTAAACAATGAATATTCAAATTTATGTAAATATATAGAAATATGTATCTACAAATATGTAGAAAAGTCAATACGATTAAATTAGTGTCCATCCAGCCTATTCACCCCACAGCAACACTGTTCATTGTTCTGCAACAATGAATATTCAAATTTATGTAAATATATAGAAATATGTATCTACAAATATGTAGAAAAGTCAATACGATTAAATTAGTGCCCATCCAGCCTATTCACCCCACAGCAGTTATCCTCATGTTTCTGTTTTAGACAGAATGGTCATCCCTGAGTCACTATTAACTGAAAAGCCCTAGTTTAAAGGAACACTACTCACTTGGAAATGCTGTGGAAATCCTCAGCCTTTCTTGACTTTTATATTATCGCAGACTTGACAGCATGGAAATGTACAAAGGACCTTCAGAAATCTTTTGCTGCTTGTAAGGTACCTTAACAGCACGGTAGTAAGAAAAATCAGCTGTAGTCAAACAGGTTTTAATACTATGAGGAAGTCTAAAAATAGAATTGGTTTCACAGGAATGTTTATGTGAAAACTTCCTCATTCCATTAACAACCAACTTCAGCTTGAATTATCAGTCAATCAGTCACCAAGAACAGAGCTAGCTAACTAGTCATTATAGGCAGAGTCAGATATACAGTACATCCATTAGCTTACCAACAGCCTTTTACTTCTGGTGGTGTGGTTGTATTTTGGCTTCAAACATTATAAAGGTGGTGTCAAGACTGGTCAAGTTTGCCTTTCTGAACAAAATGTGCCATAAGTGTCATAAATGTTTGTTTGTCACAGAGCTTATTTCTGCAAAAATTCAAAAGCCTGTGGAAAAATCCCATTGGCTTTTTAGTCGAGGGAACCAGGGTGATGTTAACTTCTGGGTTGGCCTACAAAAAGATTTCATCCCTGTGGCACTCCATTTAAGACCAGGATGGTCTAACTCAACCATCCCAGTGGTCCTCTATGATGTGGCTGGACTGTTAGAACATCTCAAATGACAAAGAGTCACCACTTAGCAAAAACCGTTTAACATCTGGTTGACTCTAAAGACCCCCTTCTGGGAGGAAGACTGGTATGTACTGTATCTGTGAAATGACAGGGAACCTGGACAAGACTGAATAAACATCAGCTGGCTGTGAACACTAGAGTAAAACTGGTAACAGGGTTGATTATGTAGGTGTCAGACTCATCAACCAGGAGCCCATGATTAAAAATGTGCACATCCTTTGTACATCTTTGTGTAGTGCCATTATACACAGAGGTGTAGTGCTATCATAAGTATGTGACAGGTGTGCTTAAACGAAGCACACCTGTGACACACGTGCATGTGTGGTTGCACATGGTCAAGTTGTGGCTTGTTTTGAGGGCGCATCCTTTATGTGTGTCTTTGTATCATTATACCGTATAATTATAGCCATCCTGTTTGTCAGCTGTAAATATCCTGCTAAGCTCTGAATATAATGTTGTGTTTAAAAAGCAGAAAGAAACAGTTCTATCCATGTCTCTCTACTGTCACTTGTGCAGGCTTGCTAATGTTACCACCAGCAATGTCTGAGAGGCACAAACAGATTGGACCCCCAGTCAGTCAGACTTCCACTTTTCAACATAGCAGCTGCTACCATAAATTGATAACCATAGTTCAGGTATGAAGCATACCTGAGAGTCTTGCCTATTTCATCACCATTAGCACAGATACAGAAAACACAATCCCTGGGTTTAAACAGCATAGGGGGCTATGTTGGTGAGGGCATGTTGTTTAAGTTATTATGAGACAGTCCAGGAATGGCTTGAAATATTCGCAGCACTAAGCTGTGGCTGCAGTAAATTGTAAAAATACAGCAATCACATTACTTAGTGCACTACTACCACTAGAACTGGCCCTGCCATGGCCCTCCCTAAACAAATATGTGACACTGACTAGCTTCACATTTACTTGTGAGCACAATTTTGTTACCAAAAAGAGCCGCCTTTTGGATAAGAGAGACGGTTCATGTGTCATATAACCAAGAGATTCAGCTCTGAGGAGCAGTAGTAAAAGACAGGTCCATTGGTCTTTATACTTGTATCGCTCTTTTCTACACATTGCAGCACACTCAGAGGGCTTTCACACTACTTGAACATTCACCCGTTTGCACTCCCAAGCACTCACATTCACGTACCAGTGACATCACCAGGAGTTCAGTGTCTTGCTCAAGGACACTTCGACATGTGGACTGGACAAGCCGAGAAATGAACCGCTAATCTTCCGGTTAGGAAACAAACCACTCTACCTCCTGACCCACAGCCGCGTTGACACAATGCTCCTCATCGGGTCCATTTAGACCAGTGTTCAAACTGTTTACCTGGTCTAAAAGGTGCAAGTTCACAGCTACTTCTATTAACCCCCTACCCCCCGACTGCGTACACAGGTCACATATACAGGTTGTATTGCATGTGTTTTGTAGTGTCTGTGCATCAAAGGTTGGGTTCTGTTTCATTGGCACCTTAAATGGAATGTTACTGTAGCTTACTGACAATGATTGTTAGCCTATTTGTTTTACAATTTAATTAAAACAGTCAAATTGATGTAAGTCTTTTTATTTAATTTCAGGAAATTGAATCATTTGACAATTTAATCATAGGACAAAGAAAAGAGTTGAGTCTCAGGTATTACACATCACTACAAGAACACAGAAAAACTGAAAACTATACAAGCTGGAAAATCATACTACTGGAGTTTTTATATGATTGTTGTGAGGCTCTCACACAGAGTGACTTCAGGTTGCTTATCTAGCCTTGGCCAGACCCACCATATTCTGGGCTCTGTTGAAAATGGAATAGTACTGTCTGATGAAGACATCACCCAGGATCCACAGACTGTCACCTCCGTTTCCGAAGCCAGTACGGCAGGAACGTTTCCAAAGCCAGTACGGCAGCCGTAGTACTGAGACTGTGGGAAGGATTGAGGCGAAGACTTTGAGTCAGAGGTCAAGTACGGAGGGTTAAGAAAAGTCTGGCAGGGAAACACACACTTACCTGACTAACGTAGGCAGAGGCTGGGAGGGTGAATTGCTGTCCATGAATATGGAAAACCAAATTGGGCATTTGGCCAATGTTGTTACAGTTGACAACATACTAAAATCAGAGGGAGAGAGAGAGAAGACAGTGATGAGGAAAGAGATAAAAGAGTATCAAACTTTGGTACTACTCTTCAATTTTCAATTAAGTTATCTGGTATTTTCTTAACCATGATGCTACAGAAATTTCATTCAGTCAACCAACAATTGTTTTTTGCCACTTACGTCTCCGTTCTGGGAACTAGCTCCCAGCCGGCTGTTGATGTTGCTGATGCTGCTCTGAGGTCCAACAATTAGAGAAGTGCCAGTGTCCACAATAGCCTGGCAACCTCCATTGCAAGCCACAACCTGACCATTGACAGTGACACTGAAAGGGAGAGAGAATAATGACAGATATCACTCGCCCTTGCCAACAATGCCACTTTGGTTTGGATACACTTTAGAGAAACTGCGATGCTGCCATCAGTGGCTTTACCTGTCCACTGTGATCTGCCAGTACAGCTCATTGGAAAGGGGAATCCAGGTAATAGGACCATAGTAGTGGTTGGGGTTGATGCCACCAAAGGTCACCACACTGCCTTGCTGAGAGTTACTATGGAGGAAAGCAGGAACAGAGTTAAACTTGCCTAAAAACTGGCAATTGTTCAGTATTAGTAAAAGTTTGTATAATAAAATGCTGGACAGTGCGTTGATGATCTTTAGATAGGACACTGCAAAGCTATTATACGGCTATACGTACGTGCTCAGGTACACAGTTAGAATTGGATTTCAGGAGTTGAGAAGAGGTCCTGGTTAATCAGGCCTTCTTTCATCATGTTGTCAAAGACGGGTGTAGCCCCAGAGGCAGACAGCCGTGGGTAGGCCAGGCCCAGGATACCATCAGCACGCATGTACTGCATGAAGGCAGCCTCAGTTGTGCTACAGCCAAAGATCTGGTTTGTCACAGGGAGCCCACCCACCTGACGGCCAAGCACAAAGACAGTGCATTTAATGCAGGTACTTTATATAACCTCAGACTAGAGTGGGATCTTCATATGTACAGTCTCTTCATTTGATTATGATTACATCATTGATGTAACACATGAATATGATCTTGCAGGCAAACAGACTGTTGACAATTCTTCAAAACACAAAGTAATAATCAGTGTTTAAGAACAATAAATACTATAAATATGAATTTCCCAGTTCAAAGCGATGCTGTTTTCCTTTATGTCTCACCGTCACAGTGTCATAAGCAAGAAAGCCAGTCATGCTGCCAGTGCCGTAGCGGATATCGAGAGGACTACCATTGTATTTGTAGGTGCTGCTCTTGCCAGGGTTATACCTGTCATGGTTCACTAGAAAGATGCAGATGTCAAAAAGTTATCGTTTGCTGATATAGTGTAGGCTTAGTATGAGATTTAAACAAGTAAACCATCAAGTGTACAAATCTAACTCAGTAAAGTCTTAAAATCATTTCAAAACCTAAGAAATAACCAGTTACACTGCTGGAAATACCACCAAATGAAAGAAATAAGATGGTAAAGCATTTTAAAAATGGCTACTAAACCCAACTCCAGCCTAACACCTGTCAAATGCTGTCAAAGTTTATGTGCATGTATAGTTTTACATACTGCACGCTGTGCTGCTGCAGTAGATGGAGGGCACCCACAGGTTGGAAGAGCCAGTGTCAAAAATGACCCTGAACGACTGAGGAGGAGTTCCAATAGAGATGACTCCATAGTAAGACAGCTGGAGATGGAAAGAGGTGCTATGGTTATTCCTGACCCAAATAAGCCATCATCCATCAAAGTTCTGTTCATCCATCTGGGCAAGCTTTAGTAGTTGTAACTCACATCAGCATCGTTGGTCATGGGTTCATTGGCCACGACAAAGCGCTGGTCAAACTTAGCCATGGGGTTGTATGGGTACTTGTGCCTGTACTCCTCCCATAGCCCCTGCTCCTCCAGGAGTTCTCTGGCACTCTTCCCCTTCTCCAGAGGGACCCTGTGATTCACCAAAGTGAGAAATTTAACAGTAACACATTAGAATACAGTTCATAATTTACAGCATAAGCAAACTGGATTTACAGTATAGCTTTTTGTAATAATAGTGTATTTGTACAGTACGCACCAATACCTACTTGTAGGTACAAGGCAACAATACAGAATGTAATGTTTTGGGAATAAGGAGGTAACAAGCAGGAAACTTGAAACTTATTTATATTTTAAGTATTTTCAAACTAAGGGGTACTTATTCTAATATTACATGGTATGTATGACCTCTACATATATGCTTGGCAGCAATCTTATTGTATCTTATACTGTAGGTTTTTTTTTTTTCCTACAGGGAACTTATTTTATTATTACAGGATGCAGTACTGATATTACTGAGCAATAAACCTGGAAATCTGGGGGAATGACATGGTACCATATTTGTTTACCTGATGGTCTCAGCTGCGAATCACTTCATGAACAAATGTTGATGCCCCCCATCCCACCCTATTTTTCCGCAATTTAGCTTTAATGGCTTATAAACAGAACAGTATGACTGATGTTGCTGTGCAGTTGATTTAAAACACTTAACCTCTGTAACTATTGAGCAAATATACCCACTTGTTCTCTGTAACTACAGGAAACATACAACAAATCGTGTTTTAAAGTGGTGCTTGTCACCCTCTTCCATGTAGTTGTAGGCTAAGTAGCCTCCAGGATATCCAGTGGTCCTGGGGGAAGGGGGATGCAGTTGAGACCAATGCAAAAACTCATTTTTATGCCACTTCCCCAGATTTCAAGTTTTGTTGCTCAGTGAATTCAGTACTGTATCCTGTAAAAACAGATTAAGTAGCCCATAGTTTAAAAAGTACATACAGTTGTTAAGTAGATCCCAAAAGTAAGATTGTAGCCAAGCACATAGGTCATACATACCACATAACATTGGAATAGGTACCGCGTAGTTAGAAAACAGTTTAAATAATTTTCAAGTTTCCACTTGTTACCCCCTTATTCTCCAAACTTTACACCTTGTTTCCTTGTGTCTACAAGTATGTATTGCTACATTACTGTACAGATACATGATTATTACAAAAAGCTACGCTGTAAATCCAGTTTATTTATGCGGTAAATTGTGGGCTGTATTCTAAAGTGTTACCAAATCACCTTTATTTGGCCACGTATGTTACACACAAGGAATTTGTTTCCAGTACAGAACCGAGGCAGCCATCTGTGGTGCCAGCTCAATCAATGGCTCTAAGCACTGGGGGCAACTTGAGAGTTCAGTGTCTTGCCCAAGGACACTTTGACACGTGGACTGCAGGCATCGAAACCTCCAATCTGCAGTTGGGAGACGACTGCTCTACCCACTGACCCAAAGTCGCCCGAAATTTAAAGTCTGTTCATTCAGTTACATGTGTATACTTTTTATTGACCTGCTAAAAGGTCTTTGCCCATGTGTCATCACTCTTACACATCTCACTAATGCTATATTAAGAAACATGACTGAGATATTCTCCTGACCCTGCTTCTTTCATTCAGATTTCCTCTTGAGCACAAAACAAAGAGATATGACACTTGTTCATTTAAGTGTCAGGTATCTCTACAGTTATAGTAGGAAAAATCCAAACTAGAACAAGTACAAGGGCCTGTTAGAGTGATCTGGCTGACTTACTGGATGAGGCACTCAGACAGTGCCACCATGGCACACACAACAAAGGCCCACTTCATTGTCACGGCTCAGCTATCAACTGTAAAAGGGAATGGATTTGAATTGAGCAGAACAGCACATCATGACAGAAAGTTCAATAATATTGCACAAAATATTACAATGTTAATGTAGTAGATCTGCAGTATACTCACCAGTAGACTCCAAAACCTGAGTGCCTACAGACATGCATGCATCCTCTTTTATACGGGTGGGCTGGTATTTTACCACTGCCCACTGATAAGGCAATGCACACACATAGGTTCCCCTGCAAACGATAAGTAAAGATAAGTTACAAAAAAACTAGCTGTTGACCTTAGGACAATGTCATTTATAGAAAGGAACACAAACCTTTGGAAAATTTTGCATATCTGCAGCAGAGTTTACTTGTGTCCCTGTTTCTCACTTCAAAGTCAAAGTGATGTTCAGGATAAACCCATGACATTAGTACATTTGAAACTGTTCACTTTTTCCCTGTTTGCTTTGATGTTCTGAAAGTTATTTTTATTTAATACTTTTTATATCTTCATTTTATTTTTAAGTTCTTGCTTTTGTATATTCATATTGAATGCTTTACCACGGTACTATTACTTTATGGTACTTGTGCTGTCACCCATAATAAGGGATTGAGTTTTTTCTATGGTGTCTTATTTGGGTTTCCGTAGTTGGCTTGTA